AACCAATAACATGCAAGTATTTCTCCTTTGGCCAATCACAATAAATGCCACCAGTAATGTGGAAAAAGTCGATTTTGAAATGCCACCAGTAATGTGAAACAGAGGAAGTACTGTGAAACGCAATTACTGTTCCACAGTAATTGCGTAAGAGCAAATGCGATGCATTCTGGTCTTCCTTGGCCACCCAGCGATGCACGCTTAGAATTGCGGCGAGTGGTCATGATCTCCTCCCTGTTCTTCAGTCATCCTCTCCATGTACTCCAATCAATTCCATTGGCCCTGGCGTATGATCGAGACGACACGACGCTTGGGTCGAACTACTTGCGGCGATCCGTGATTACGTGAGTACCTCGTGCACTGCCCCATGCTCGCGGAAGACGTTCGCACTAGCGGTAAATTTGAACGAGCCAATTATGAATTACTGTTGTGGATTCATTCAATTTTTGTATGCGGGATATAATTTTGTGATTTCAAAGTGTATACATTTTCATATATATTGCATACCAATTTTAAAAATTCTCTCCCCACAACGTTTTCGCTGCTGGCTAACCATCATTCCATAGTCCCACGAGGGGTGATTGCTTCTTGTGTAGGGAAGTCTTACGTTCTTTGAGGAAATCAAGCGCGGAAAAAGTCGCCTTACCAACTGGCATAGACTGGGGATTAGGGGAATCGAACCGGAGCTCAGCGCGTGAAACCCGACTCCATTGTCGGCTAGGCCAAAATGGATCCCTTACAAAAGATAGTTTGAAATCAATCTGTATCGGATGAATTGGGCTGGATGAATATGTATAGGAAATTAGGCAAGATCCCTTGAAAGAGATTTGCACTCAAGTGCCGTCGTGATTAGAAAATCCAAGGCTATATCTCATGTACTGTAATTAGAACGTGTATCATATCATGTCCTTCGTCGTGTTAAAAATTTCACCCATTGGCTTAAATATTGGGATTTTGCACTAGTGTTCAGAATACCAAGTCCATATTTTTATTCCAGAAATATGAACGAGTACCACTGGGTTAATTTTTCCGTCGTTACAGTACATCCAAACGGTGTGACGTGGCTCGTCGATGAAACAGAGAAAAAAGCCAAACATCTCCGGCCTGAGGACAGGGCAGTGGAGACGACGTACCCGATTGACCTGGGTATTCTGGCTGCGGTCTAGATGTCAATTCCGAATTTGCAACGGTCGAGCCACCACGCTGTGCTGGCGTTCTGCCATGCCGACAGTCATGTTGCTAGTTTGTTAAGAATGTCGGGGACGGGGCATTCGGTGTGCGGTGCGCTGGTGTTGGTCACCATAAGAGGTCTGCGACAATCCAACAGCTCGTTGCTTGCCACAGCCTAACCACACGCTGGCCGATTCATTCTTGTATTGGCGTCGCAGTTGTGCTTACCTCGACATCGACCCTTTCGTCGGCACAGACACTGCGACGACATGGACTCGCAAGCCATTCAATTTGGAATGATGAACGCGTTGCGCACGAGCAACGTGATCTTTGACACTCTCATCTGCCTTTTGATTCCGATCGTGTTCAAGAGAATTCTTGACTCGT